GGGGGGGGTCCATGTTGTCATTTATTATTTATTTATTTTACCCCCCTCCCACTTCTTCCCTGTCCTCTGGTAACAACTAGTCTATTGTCCATTGATATTGATTTTTTTTTTTTAAATAAAAATTTCCCTTGTGTACAATTAATAGGTTTTTTGTTCAACAAATCTATTTTTCAGATAATATAAAGGCAAATTTCTGAATGTTATGGATCATCATATAGTTGAAATCACTGGAGTCCAAATTAATGGTGCTCGAAGGGCCATATTAAATAACAGATATTATTCCTATCCATGAAGAGTTTGAATGGCTCATAAAAGTTTACAGAAATGAGGGTAAAAGTTAAACAACAAGGTAGGGTGTGTTTGCAATCAAATCACAGCACAGTATCCTCATCTAGTGCTTATGCAATGCTAACAGATGCATGCACTGGTTTTACAGAAATCAGATAATACGTATGCTTAACATGTTCTATTAAATGTAAATATACTATAAATTTAAATTTTTTTCAGAAAGACACGTTTTGTTGTGGAAGTTATCATTTACCAACATACAACACACTGATGAACATTGTTCCTTGGGTAACAACACGGGGCCACACACTAGTTTTCTTAAAATGCAGGGCAGACTTACCTTTGTTGTCAATAGTTGATCATTTTTCGAAGGGCGTCATAGCACTTCCATTTGTCTGGGATGTAGAATGGCTCAAAAATGTGCGGAAACGGTGTATCATACCCACAGACTCTTGATATAGGAGCCTCCAGGTTCAGGAAACATTCTTCCTGCAGAGAAGAATATAGATGGTTAACTTTAAGAAGATGTCTTTTTATCCAGAAATGAAATATTTCAACTTAAAATACAACTGCACCTAAGGGAATTAAAATAATTCAGTGTGTTAGAATGTAAAACAAAGCAGGTTTAAAAAGTAGGTAAAAAATAGCATCTTTGGAATGGTCCCAGTTCTACTTAAAATATGTTTTCATGTATGTATATGTATTTTATATCTACATATATATTATTTGAGCCAAACTGGAATTATAACAAACATACTGTTCTACAAATATAAGTGGAATATAAGGCATGACAAAATCATAACAAAATGTTCGCAATAAACTCTACAGCTCAAAATTAGTGATGGTATATGTTTTCTCTTATTTCCTGTATTTTTCGAGATTTATATACAATAAACATATATTACTTTCATAATAAATGTTGTAATTACACAGTCAGACTGAACTTCTACAGTTGCTTGACTGTGTCCTGGTCTCTCTCATAAACAGCCTTCTGTAGATGCCTTAGGTCCTCTGGCCACGGACGCCCCAAGCCCACTGATCTCAGTATGATGTGCACGCATCTCAGGTCTCACTTTAGGAGTCACCTCTGCTGGGAAGCCTTTCTTGACATCTCCCCAACCCTGCACCACCAAAGACAAAGAAAGGGCTTCTGCCCTGAGCTCCGACAGCACAATCCACTCACTGTAGTTGCCCAATAATCTGTCTTCCTTGAGAGACTATGAATTCCATGAGGCTAGAAATCTGGTATAGAAATGTAAAATCTCAACTACAGAAAAATTCTGTAGTAAATTATCTTCAGAAAAAAAATATTCAGGTGACAATGTAAAATTAGAAAATAAAATTTTTAGAGAAGTAAAAATATCTAAAAAGAGAGAGATATGATTAAACTATTCTTATGAAGATGATATTGATTTTCCCATTCACAGCTATTACCTGAAAATAAAACTTTTGGTTTTTTTATACACCCACTTTCTACATTGCCTTACTTCACCAAGGATTTGAGCAGGTCTACATTTTCTTACATTTTACTAATTGTATTTTTAAATTTTCATTTGAGCAGAAATTTTTACATGAAGAAATCCTGATGCCCGATGCTCAGTCCCTACCCTCTGTGTATATTTCTTCCTGTATATTCAGGCAGAAAGGGCACAGGAATGGGACAAATTAGCTTCAAAGGGCACCAACTGACCATTTACACACCTCTCCCTGCCCCCAGTAATCACTATGACTGACAGTGTCCAGTAACAAATAAATGTTGACTTTCCTAACAATAGTAAATCTTCAACAACTTGAGAAGCTTGCATACATATTTAAAGAGTCACCTAAGAAATTCCACTATTAATAAGCCCCAAAGAGATGGCAGATCAGGTGAATTGTTTCTTGATTGCAATAAGTAATTTTAAAGGTATTTAAATTTTCAATTTGGGAATAACTCAGTTTTCCTACTTTAGTTGATTTTCCATCTTCACTGAATAATGCAGTCTTCATAAACAAACTATGCATGGACACTGCAAAATACAGAAAACTAAGGGCAAAATATTTTGCTAAATGCCTTTGATTTTGCACTTGTTATAAAAAAATTTCTTTGTAACTAGTACCCTGGAGAGCTGTCCTACAACAAAATGATCTATCAGTGTTTATGAAAATCACTCCCTTTAACATAATAACTAAAATTATCAAACTTAAAATTTTTTTCAAATAGCAATACTTCTAATTCCTCAAGAATGAGAATCACTCCTCATAGGAATACATCTAAATCTTTGCACGGGCATAGAAAAAGGTCTGAGAGTTCACACTTGAACTATAAACCAGGGTCATCCATTGAGGCTGAGAGTGGCAAGGAGGTAAGGAAGCACTCTACTTTGTACTTTATAAATACTGGAGTTTGTATGACACAAAATTAAGTTTGTGATTAAATGGCATAAAGGAAATAAAGGAAAAAATGAAATAAAGGAAAAGACTAAAATAAAGAATTACCTTATGTGAATAAAAGTTCCTATTTTATGTTCTAAAAAATTGTGATTTTATATGTAGCTCTTCCTTTAGAAACAATTACTATAAGTTACATGGAATTATATGATTATTTTATACTATTTATAAGTATATAAACGTATTATAAAAATCATAGATGACTATGATTAACCACCTGAAACAGTTTAAAATTTTAACATTTACTAAAGAATATTATAGAGACACATTATTCCTTCTGTGGACTTGTGTTAAAACTTTTTTAATGCAATTAGAAATAAGATATTTGGGTCAAGCAGCTGTACACAGTTCCTTCCCACTGAACTGGTTCACATACAAATGATTAATGTGTGAGCATATGTTTTTTCAGGCAACCATCGAAACAGGGCATCCTTGTTCTCCATCGATTTTCTTCATACAGAAGCTGTACATACACACATACACACACACACACACACACACACACAAGGAGAGGGGGTGGAGAGAGAGGGAGAGGGAGAGGGAGAGGGGGAGGGA